ATATTTCTCCTCCCTTATCTGACTAAATGGGTCACGAGTCCAAAAGGTATATAAACTAAAATTTAACTTTAATTATTAAACTATTTAGTTTTTCTTAACTTTGTTCTCAACATATGATTTGAGCTTATTTAGTAAAACGGTTTACTCCATTTCCTAGATGGTTTCACCCACACCTTTCTGGATTACAGGCTGAAAAGCTTTTGATGGAAAAAGGAGTTAGTGGTAGCTTTCTTGCAAGACACAGCCATAGCACTCATGGAAGCTTTACTCTATCTGTTAGACGTGGTGATGAAGTTACCCACATCAGGATCCAAAATACTGGAGATTTTCTCGATTTGTATGGTGGAGAAAAATTTGCTACTCTTTCGGAGCTCGTTAACTATTATATGGAGAATGAGGGTCAGCTAAAAGAAAAGAATGGAGACCACATAGAACTTAAATATCCTCTTATATCTGAAGATCCAACTACTGAACGGTAAATGTTCATGCTTATTACCATCTATACGTTTTTTCAAGCCGATTTGGTTTAAATTTCTAGTTATATATTTTCATCTAATTTTTTTTTAAAGCAATCACTTTGAAGTTTTTGCTTACCATCAGCCTTATTCAACTATAATGTGCTATCTTCGCTTTTAGCTTATTTTATAAACATTTAATTCATTTTCTAAATGTAATTTGTTTGCTTTTACGTAAAAAGAATCTTGAATTTTATATGTACTACTTTTTTACCAAATGATGCTATCACCATTAGTAATGTAAATGACATAAACACAGGTTATCTCAGTCAAAGGCAAAATCCTTTTTTACCATATTTCAACTAGGCTTAGATTGGCTAATTTATCTCTATCTAAGCTGTATTGTTAGTATGATCGCTTTTCTTTTCTTTAGCACCATAAAGTTATCACCAACAGTCGGGTTAAGGCTAGCCTTGCCCGACCGAGTGCTAGCAAGCTTCCTTTGGATTCTGACAAATCTAGTCTGGGTTCTTCCCCTGACTTTTTATATTCATTAAAAGGCTTAATAAAAA